TCAGGTGATCAAAAAAATCTTGATTTTAATCACAAATTTATATACTTTATATACATTTGTCCATAGAATTCTAATATAATCAATCTATTTATTTGTGCAAATATTATTAGAAATTTATATATTATTAATACTTTAATGTACAGTCAGAATTTATATATATATATAAAATATGAACTTATATATATATATAACTTATATATATATATTACTTATATATATATATATATATATAAAAGATGTCTCGAATATATATTGAATGATTTCAGTATTAATTAAAAATTGTCAAGATTATTTTACAGTTCGAAAAAAAAAAAAGAATTAATTTCGCAAATATAATAGTAGAATATTACAATTTCACAAATATAACAGACGAACTTTAAGTTTACTATAGAACATATATTGATTTTTATTGATAATCGTAAAGAGAAATTCATATAATTTTATAAAGATACGTGTAAAATATGTTTTCTTATTTCAACTGGCTGGTTATCGACATAGACAAAAAAGAAAAAAAAAGAAAAGAAAAGAACAAGCAAAATGTGGGGGGAAAAAAAGGAAAAAGTAAATATAAAAAAAAAAATAATAAAAATAATTATTACTATGAGCGATATACAATTTTTTTTTTCTTTTTTAATCTTTTTCAATAAATAATTTATGTACTTTTTTTATTGTTATTCTATTGATTTTTTAGCCATGTAATTTTTGACCTGTACTATTTAAATATCCAACTCCATAAGAGTGATTCGCTTGTACTACTTAAATATTTTATCATATACTGGCAGTTGATTTGTATTACTTAAAAATGTTCACCTACTACTAAACAATACTACTAATACATATAGGTTCAAACAAATTTTAGTAAATTGTTAAAATTCAATGACTAGAAATTCAATGTATTTTCAATTATCTTATTTTCATTGTATAAATTTTTTCATTATAGATATAAACTTGTATTAAATTTTTTGATATATACATATATATTATATTAGTGATTATAACAATATACAGATTATGCAGGGTAGTATATAATAATAATGTAGTTTCTAATTATAATAAAAACTTTATATATATAGGAGATGAAATCCCATTTAGAGAACGTATACACTATTAAAATAAAATATAGAAAATGAAAATTATATAATATTTATTTTTGGCGAAAGACTTTTACCTTATCTTTTATAAAAATAAGTCCTGAAACAATATACAACAGACTGGATATAATAATTAAGTATTGTTTAAAAATTTACAAAATAAATACATATATATATATATAAAATTTTTGTATGAAAGTTAAATTTAAAAATACAACGTAAGTAAAAAATATGTATCGACCAATTATATAATAGCATCGTTATGATTGGTCAACAGAAAGATTCATTTTGATTGGCTGATTTCCATTACCAATATACATACATATAACAAAACACTTCATGTAATTGGATTAGTGTGTTTTTGTTGTGTGTCATGCAAGAAAGTTGACTAAAGGTATAAGCTATCTGAACATTATGTTATATTTATATAAAAAAGAATTAACCGTTTTATCGGTTACACAATGACAAAATGTGAACAATTTTTTAAATCTTTCGTAACGATGTATGAATTGTATGAGTGATTGAAATGTACATAAACTTACTTATATGTATATTCCATTTATAAATTATTATAATTAAATTCTTTAGATTTATAAAGTTTATTTGGAACAATATTATATAAATATAAGAATGCCACTCTCTAATAGTAATAAAGAAGATATGGTAAATATAGAAAAATCAAATCATTCATTACTTTAAATAGGTTAAGTCAAACATTTTCTATTCATTTTATCTTTTATTGTACAATGTATTGGTAAAAAAAAATACATTGTATAAGTTAATATTTATAATTTAAAATTCGTTCTGTATTAAGTAATAATAATAATAATAATATATATGTATATACATATGTAGGAACCAAATATGAGTGATATAAGTGCAGACTTTGCTTGTCTAAAAGTATCTGCTTTAGGAAAAGTTTCGCGTATATCCGGTGAAATCGATCGGATTACGATTGGTCCTAATTCAGATTCAAGCAAGAGTGATTTAAAAAAATTGGAAAATATTGAAAATGAGCAAAATTCTTGCAATGTCAAAACACCTCAGAAAACTATGGATGAATGGAACAATAAGATTTCAACACAGAGTGGTATTATATTTTCAATAAAAAAGATATTATTGGAAGAGGAGTTACAAAGAAGAGAGAAAGTCAGGGTAAATTTTTTTTATAAATAATACATACAATAGAATAGTATTATTATTTTAATAAGATAATATAAAAGGAATCAAATGATATAATGTTAATTATTATTATTATTATTATTATTATTATTATTATTATTATATTTTGTAGAAAGAAGTACAGCGTAAATGGCAACACATGGAAGAGAATGGAACTGCTATACAGAAACATATTTCCCTTTCGCGTTCGAATATGGCACAAGAAAGAGAGCGCAAAAGTGCACAAAAATATGCCGATATATTAGCCGAGGAGGAACGTATCGCGGAACAAGAAGAGATAAGGAGAAAACACGAGCAACAGTTACACGCTCAAAGAGCTCAAGAACAAAATGAAAAGATGAAACGTGATATGGAGGAATGTAGAAGAAAATTGAAAGAGAAGGAAGAATTGATAAAAAAGATAGTAATTCTTAGGCACGAATTTGAAGTTAAATATTATGACATTGTAATTCTTTCAAAAAATTTTAAAGACAAAAATGCTATAGCAAATTTTTTTATTATGCATTCGGTAGTTCTAAAACAACTCCATCGACAAATTGAATCTTTGGATGAAAAAATTAAGGTATTAGTAATATAATTGTTATAAATATATATGCGATATAATTTTTTATTTTTATTATCTTTTACTTATCTATATCTATTTAAATTTAAAATAGAAAGGAGATTTGGCGCCTACAGATCTTTATAGCGCAGAAACAGCGGTACAACAGATAGGTGAAATTTTATCCTCGTTAAAGGTAGAATTAGGTATGTACTTTTTATTATTAACAATTACAATTATATTCTAAGATATTTATAATAATCAAATAAAAATATCAATGTACTTGTACTTTCAGATAGGATAACTGCTGAGAAGATAATTCCAGTGTCGAATGCAGATGTACAAAATACAGAATTGATTCAGAAAGAACCATCCAAGTCAGAAGAAGTTGTAAAAATTTATGACGTTTCAACTGCAGATCAAATCAATAACGATAATGTCAACGAAAACGTGGACAATGATAAAACTCAAGAGATTGTTCCAGGAAGTGTTCCAGAATCTGTTCCAGAAACTGTTCCAGAGACTGTTCCAGAGTCTGTACCAGAAATTGCCCCGGGAACTGTTCCAGAATCTACTCCTGAAACTGTTCCAGAACTAATACCAGAAAATGTTCAAGAAACAGCTCAAACAATAGAAACATCCACAAATCATCAAGCCAATTCTGAAGATACTTCATCAACGTCAACTGTGCCATTACAAGAAATAGAAAGTAAGCATTAAAGTTTATGTATCAATGAAATATTATTTAATATTATAAAAATTAGAATATTTTACATGCATTATCTTCTTTTAGATAATATATATAAATATGTCGATAAAGAATCATTACAAATATATATTCATAGTCAAGAAATTTTGGAGAATTATGCCAAAAATTATAATGAATTTTCACGATCGCCTAGTACAAAAAAATTTAGGTTCGAGTGTCAAAAAGCAATAAATATTCCTGTAAACGCAATTTCTGTTATTAACGAACAACATCTTAAAGATAAATATGAAAGATTACACAATCTTCTTATTGGAAGATCATCTCCAAATGTAGGACAGCATCCGCAAGGAGCAGCATTTTGTAAAGATGTTTTAGCCAAAAAAATAGTAGTACGTATTTTTAATAGATCTTTCTAATTAATTTTTCGTTTATTTTTTTTTTTTTTTTTTTTTTTTTTTAATAAATTTTTATTTAACAACAGAATCAAGGAGAGACACTTGTTTCGAGCAAACCAAAAATGGCATTTGCTATAGCTACAATAATCGTAGCTCTTTGGAACGATCACGGCGATTTTGGTGAATTACTTTTAGCACATTTTCACAAAACTTGTCCCTTTACGGTTCCTGTATTTATGCCGAAAAGAGAAGGACAAACCAATGAAGAATATTTCAAGTCATTGGGTTATAAGTATTTCGAAAATGGAAGTGTAGAAAAACAAGATAAATTTTTGAAAAGAATGTCTGGATTAATGAGATTGTATATTTCTATAACTGTAACATCTCAAAGAAAAGGAATTACGAAGAAACATCCTTATGGTTTACGACATACATGGAGATGGCTTGCAACTGTATTGAATAGTGGTAAAGTTACATAATTTTTTTTTTCTTCTATTACTACTATTATTATTAATTTTAATTTTCAAAAACACAAATATGTTAATCATATATTTATCCATACTTATAGAATCTCAACCAAACACATCAGATCTTCGTGCCACTCTTATTTTGGATGTATTAGAAGTTGCAGGAAATTCACTTTGGAATGTTTATCCTAAACAATTTCATAAGATGTTAATGTTATTAGCTAATGAATATTATCCTCGTATACAAAATACGGATGGTATTAGTGACGGACCATTAGTACGTTTAGAAGAATTCTTAAAAAACACATTGGCAAGGGGTTCTATACCACCTCCAGATGGATATCTTGCTCCTAACTTTTGGTAACTTTTGATAGATAAATTCGTTTCGCGTAATTCTTGTGCATTGTATGTATCATAATTTCTATTTAAAAAGAAAAAAAAAATAAATAAAATAAAATAAATAAATAAATAAAAAAATAACAAAAGAAAAAACAAAAAAAAAAGGAAGAAGTAGAAAAAAAAAGAAGAAAACACGAACGAAAAGAACAAAAGTAAGAAAATAAGAAATGAACAGATAATATGCATATGCATAGATCTTGATAATATAACGTTATATTTATTTTATAATATAAAATTTATATGCGTGTTTATTTTTTTCCAACGATAAATGTAGTAAGGTATAGATCATATTTAATACAATGTAAATGAGAGATAAATTCAATAATACGGTCCCCTTTTAATGGCAGACTTAACATCACTAAATTCATAGTAATCTGTGGAATTAATGGCAAAACCTAAGATTCCATAAGATGCTAGTTTCTCCAATCGTTCTGTATCCTCATTACAATTGAGTAGAGATGACGTTAATTTCCTTACAAGATTATCTGTAAAAAAAAAAAAAAAAAACAAAAAAAAAACAAAAAAAAAAGAAATTAAAAAGAAGAAAAAATAAATGAAAGGAATGAGAAAAACATCAGATATGACATAAGAATGAAAAACAATAATAAAGAGATATAATGCTAGAAATTAGTTTTTCATTTCAACAATTTTCTTACCAGATATATTTTTATTAACCATAATGCGATAGGGCGGTAATGGTCCCAAGCTTGTAACTACACGAAGTGATTCTATGCCTGGCAAAGTATCTTTTTGACACATAATAACAGGAGCTTCCAAAACGCCAACTTCGGCTTGTTTACCGGCGACCATTTGTAAAACGGCTATTTGTGAATCGACATCTAAAAAAACATAACGTCAAATTTCAGTACCTTATTAATTCACAATTTGTCCATTACGTGCATATCGTCACACAATTTATTCATATTAACCTAACGTGTTGCCGAAGAAAGCTGGACCTTCTCCAACAGAATGCAAGTAATTATACAATAGTGTTGTAGCTCCTACTTTTTTAGACCTATCAGGCAAAGCACATCTGTGTCCACGCATATCAATGATATCCTATAACATTATACATACATACATATAAAAATTTGTTATATGTTTCAAAGATTTAATAATAGAAATTATCAAAGATTTATCCATTTACTTCAACCTGAGGTGTGAGATCTGAAGCAATGATAACGTCGGCATAAACCAAAGGTGAATTATCCTTATTCAGACGATGTTTAAATATGAAAGATACTGGCAGAAGTTCACCATCTTCCCATTCTTCATTGGCCGACAAAATGGCTGAAATTAATTAAAATAATTGTTACATAATATATTGATATATAATATTTCTTTTTATTTTAATAAATAAATATGATATTTTAATGGATAAATATATTTATTAAAATACATAAATTTATTTATAAAAATAAATACATAAGCATTTTATAAACCTACCGATATCAGTGATATTTTTTGGAACTTTTCTATTAGATCTTGGCTCGTATAAAATATTAACAGGCCTTTCTGTTGCAACTTCGATAACTTCGGCCAATAATTCGAAAAGAGAGATTGGTAAGGACGGTACTAAATGTGTAGATAATACGATTGGAGATTCATTGGTTATCGGTGGCATATAGGGTTGACGTATTCTTGGTACAGCAACGTTCGAGGGTTTAAATGATTTCTGTAAAAAAGTATAAAAAATATATGCATATTAATTTTATTGGATTAAAAAAAAAAAGAAAAAGGAAAGAAAAGAAAACGGATCAAGTTGATTTACATTTTTTTCGACGATAAACAATTCCTCTTTCTTCGGAGAAAATCGATCATCTTCTTTTGATTTCTATAAAAAAGGAAAAAAAAGAAACCACAATAATAATAATAATAAAAATGTAAATATGAAAGCCATCAATTTTGTTGAATTAAAAAAATAAAAAACAAAAAAAAGTGAACGATGACCTACATTTTTCTCGACGATCACAAATTCATCTTTCTTCGGGGATGATCGAACTTCTTCCTTTGGTTTCTATAAAACGAAAAAAAAAATATACATATATATATATATAAATATGATTTTATTCAATTTCGAAGAAAAAAAAAAAAACAAATCAAATTGATTTACATTTTTTTCGTGGGACAAAGATTCATCTTTCTTCAAGGATGTTTGCAATTCTCCTTTCGGTATCTATAAAAAAGATTTCAATAAAAATATAAATATAATTGTTATCAATAAAATTAGTTGATTAGAAGAAAAAAAAAAGAACTGAATCAATTTGACTAACATTTTTTTGGTGGATCAATGATTCATCTTTCTTCGAAGAAGATCGATCTTCTTCTTTTGGTTTCTATAAAGAAAAAAAAAAAAAAAAAAAAAAAGTAATAATAATAATAATAATGTAAATATGATTGCCAATTTTATTGAATTGAAAAAACAAAAAGAAACGAACATTTTTTTCGAGGATACAAATTTCATCTTTCTTCAAAGATGATCGAAGTTCTTCTTTTGCTACCTATTTAAAAAAAAAAAAAAAAAAAGAAAGAAAGAAAAAAAATCAATAAAAATATAAATATAAAATTTTATTCTATCTAAAAAGAAAAAAAGAAAAAAAAAAAGAAAAATATATCGAAATTGACTAACATTTTTTTCGAGAATGGACGATTCATCTTTCTTCGTAGAAGATCGAACTTCTTTTGGTTTCTATAAAGAAAAAAAAAAAAATGTAAATGTGATTATTTTCAATTTTATTTACAAAAAAAAAAAAAAAGAAACGAATGATGTTAACTTACATTTGTTTCGAGGAAAAAATATTCATCTTTCTTTGGGAACGATCGGACTTCTTCTTTAGGTACCTACAAAAAATGTTTTTATAAAAACAAATCTAAACGTCGTCAATTTTATTTAATTAAAAAAGGAAAAAATGGATCAAGAAGATATGCATTTTTTACAATTTAAAACAAACTAATCATAATAAAAATATAAATATAATCGTTATCAATTTTATTGGCTTTTGAAATAAATGGATGATGTTAACTTGCATTTTTTTCGACGATTACTAATTCATCTTTCTTCGAAGAAGATAGTACTTTTTCTTTTGGTTTCTATAAAATGAAAAAAAAAAAAAAAAATAAAAATATAAATGTGATCGTTACCGATTTTATTGGAGAAAAAAAAAAAATAAAAAAAAGATTGTAGATGATTTACATTTTTTTCAAGGATCAAAGAATCATCTTTTTTCAAAGCAGATGGATTTTCTTCTTTTGGTTTCTATAAAAAAAAAAATATGAAAAAAAGAATAATATGAAAAAAAAAATATATATATATATTTAGATAACCAGTTTATCGCATTTTATTATATATAATAAAGATGTAAATATGCTCGTTGCCAATTTTATTGGATTTTAAATCAAATGAATAATGTTAACTTACATTTTTTTCATGGAGCAAAGATTCATCTTTCTTCGGAGAAAATCGAATTTCTTCTTTTGGTTTCTATTAAACGAAGAAAATAAATAAATAAATAAATAAAATGTCATCTCTAACAATTTTTTTTTTATTGGACTTTGAAACAACTCCAACGAATTAAATGAATGAAATTAACTTGCATTTTTTTCGAGAGTCACAAATTCATCTTTCTTCGAAGAAGATCGCACGTCTTCTTTTGGTTTCTATAAAACGTGAAAGAAAAATTAATTAATCGATTAAATAAATAAGAATATATGGTATGATCGATATCAATTTTATTGGATTTTGTAACAAATCCGATGAAATAAATGAATTAAATGAACTTGCATTTTTTTCCGGTATCACAATTTCGTCTTTCTTCAAAATAGGGCAAACTTCATCTTTTGGTTTCTATGATGATGACAAAAAAAAACAAAAATAAATAAAAATATAGGTGTGGTCTTTATCAATTTTATTGGATTTGGAAACAAATCCGATGAAATAAATAAATTAAATGAACTTGCATTTTTTTCCGGTTTCACAATTTCGTCTTTCTTCAAAAAAGAGCAAACTTCATCTTTTGGTTTCTATGATGATGACAAAAAAAAAATAAAATAAAATAAATAAAAATATAAATGTGATCATTATCAATTATATTGGATGTTGAAATAAATCCAATGAAATAAATGAATTAAATGAACTTGCATTTTTTTCCGGTTTCACAATTTCGTCTTTCTTTAAAAAAGGGCAAACTTCATCTTTTGGTTTCTATAATGATGACAAAAAAAAAATAAAATAAATAAAAATAGAAATGTGATCGTTATCAATTTTATTGGATGTTGAAATAAATCCAATGAAATAAATGAATTAAATGAACTTGCATTTTCTTCCGGTTTCACAATTTCGTCTTTCTTTAAAAAAGGGCAAACTTCATCTTTTGGTTTCTGTGATCATGAAAAAAAAAAAAAATAAAAAAAAATATGATATGTGTACATAAATATAAATAAGATCGTCATCAATTTTACTGAATTTTAAGAAAAATGAATGAAGTTAACTTGCATTTTTGGCGAAGTTAACATATTCATCTTTCCTCGAAGAAGGTCGAACTTCTTTCGGTTTCTATTAAAAAAAAAAAAAAAAAAAAAAAAAAAAAAAAAAAAAAAAAAAAAAAAAAAAAAAAAAAAAAAAAAAAAAAAAAAAAAAAAAAAAAAAAAAAATAATAAGAATAATAAAAATATGATCGTTATCACTTTTATTGGACTAAAAAAAAAAAAGAAATACGAAGCAAATCAAATTGATTTACATTCTTTTCGAGAATCGAACATTCATCTTTCTTCAAAGCAGATCGTTTTTCTTCTTTTGGTTTCTATAAGAAAAAAAAAAAAATGAAAAAAAAAAATTATATATATATATATATATACATGATTGTATTAACAATTTTATGGCATTAAAAAAAGGCGAATTGTGATGATTTACATTTTTTTCGACGATCAAAGATTCATCTTTCTTCAAAGCAGGTGGATCTTTTGGTTTCTATAAATAGAAAAAAAAATAAAAAAAAAAAAATAAAAAAAAATGTATTATCAATTTTAAAAAATAAAAATTTTATAAATATGATCGTTATCATCACGGGGGAAAAAGATAAAGAAAAAAAAAAAAACGAATAAATTGAACTTACATTTTTTTCAAGGATCAAAGATTCATCGTTTTTTGAGGATGATCGATCTTTGTCCGTGGGTTTCTCGATAACAAATTTCTTCTCGACTTTCTTCTCGACCGATTGTTCCAACGTTCTCTTTTCAACTTGTACATCAGTTTTAATAACTTCCTTCGTCGATTGTACTTGCTGTTTTACAACCGGCACATCAACTTTTTCCTTCTCAATGCTCGCTTTACTTGTAGCTTCATTTTTTACTTCATTAAGCAATAATTTTGGATCGTTTAACGTTTCTTCTTTTTTCGATCGAGTCATGATCGGTACATTAGTCCCCGATTTAGACATCGTGACGAGATCAAATATATGATCTATTTAATAAAATAAAAATAATTCTTTTTATAAAATATATATATATATATATTTTATTATTAAAAAAAAGAAGAAGAAGAAGAAGTTGATAGTAGATTATATTCGTAAAAATTAAAATTAAAATAAATTAATATCTATATGAAAATAAATAATTTATATTATTTGAAAAAAATTTCGATCGATTTACGTCGATAATGTAAAATCCGATTTAATCATCATAACGAACGAACATTCGATCCATTTTAATAAAATAAAAGTTGATTATTTTTTATTTTATATATTATATATACACACACACACACATATATATATATATATATATAAACAAAATAGATAAAAAAAGATAATGATTTTTGATTTTATATATATATAGATTAATTAACGAAACAGATATAACTCTCTTGTGTTCGAGAGAGGAAAAAAAAAAAAAAAGAAGAAAAAAAAAGACCTATCAATGTCATGGAAAGTTAACGTTTATAATATTTTTAAAAATGATAATAAGAAAATTTCCATTACTTGAATAAATTCGATCTAATAGATTTATCCTTTAGATCGTAATATATACAAATAGAAAATAATAAATCTTAATGTATTAATTTTTACTTATTCAAATTGCGATATTATATACTTACCGGTATCCTTACGTCAGTGACCGATGAAAACGTTGCGATTTCTGTTCGATGTCGGAACTGTTACTCAATAATAACGATCAAACGAAATCGAGAGGAGAGATACTTTGACACTCGTGCGCGCGCATATCCAAACAGATAGATAATAATATCCAATAATAATATCCAAATGAAACATCTATTAATCTCGAAGAAAATAGTCCTTTGGTAGCGTCGATGTTCTACGGTCGAACGATTGATTATCTTCAGTTGTTTGCCGCGTGATGGCCTCGTGTTCCAGACCAGTCTCTCTCTCTCTCTCACTCTTTCTCTTTCTCTCTTTCTCTTTCTATCTATCAAATTACGACGTTTGATATTCCAAGCGAAAATTTTTCATACTTTGTACTCGGACTTTATCAACCTCTTCCTTGCCCCATTCACATGAAAGTATATAAAAATCTTTATTATGTACACTTGTTGATATTTCCTTCGTACTTTATTTTCTTTCTCCTTCTCGTACGTTCCAAACGTGTCATCATTTTTCTATCGCTGGAAAGAAGGATGAGAGAGAAAGAGAGAGAGAGAGAGAGAGAGAAAACACGTGCGCGAAAATAACATGATTATTAATTTTTATTTAGTTTTTTTTCTTTTTTTTTTTTTTTTATTACGAATGACAACGAAAAAAAATCTCAATGTTATTTTATTACTTTATTAAATAGGAAAATAAATAAGTGACATATATTTTGTCGATATATTACCGACCGTAGTAACAAAAAAATTCTGTTTATTTAGTTTTTATCTTTACATTTCTTTATTCTTTTTTTTTCTTTTTCTTTTTCTTTTTCTTTCTTCTTCTCATTAATGCAAATTATAAATGTAAGAGAATTTAACGTTTGCAATAATGCTTTTTTGAATTTAATTTTTATTTGTCCTCCCTTCATTTCAATACGAATAGAAATTAATAAGAACTCGAAATTTTTTTCTTATCTGTCCTTCTTTCATAATCTTAAAAATACTAAAGTGACCGAACTATCATCGATATGTTATCTCATATCGTATTTTATTTTATTTTATTTTATTTTATTTTATTTTATTTTTATTTTTTTTTTTTTTTTTTTTTTTTTTTTTTTTTTTTTTTTTTTTTTTTTTTATTTATTCTCATTTTCTAATTGATATGAATAGAAACGAAAGAGAACTTTGTTATTATTTCCTTTATTTTCCGACTTTGAAAATATGAAAATAATAAAATATATCGTCGATATGTTACCGATAAACTCCCTTTATATAATTTTAATTTTTATTTTTTCTCTTATCATTGATACGAATGGAGTAGAAGATGAAAAGAATTTTTTTTCTTTTTTCTTTCTTTTAGTATTTCTTCTTTAACCATAAAAAAAAAATAACGAATATATTTCGTCCACATTTTATCGACCGTGGTCATGCAGTTACCTACCAGAAATTTTCTTTATCGATCGTCGATGAAGTTTCGATGTTTTTCATGAGCCTTACAAACGGACGAAAGTCCCACCGACCAAAAAAAACGTTTACGATCACGGCCGGTGAAGACGTCATCCGGATGCATCGCTTCACAATAGTTTTTCTTTTCAGATGTTTCTTATCGTCGAGAGTGTATAGTGTTCTCTTCGTACTTCAAGATTTCTTTTCTTTTTTTCTTCCTCCCCACCCCACCCCACCCCACCGCCCCGCTGACCACCCAGGACCTGTCTTCGTCATTCACCGTCAACTTTAAATTCCAAAGTTATAAAGAATCAAAAAGGTGTTTATACCGTGTAAACGATTCTCTGTTTCAATCGCTCGTTGAGATATCGTGACTTTTAGACGAATAACAAGCTTTCCATCTAGGCAAACAACTTGCATGGCATGTAAGTTATATGTCATATACATATTTGTAACGGTAAATTGGCCACACCTCACGTATCTCGAGAAAGTATATATTATTCGTTGGAAAAAAAAAAAAAAAAAAAAAAAAAGTATACGTAAGTGACGATATTTTTCATTCAGACATTTTTATATTTCTTTTTCTCTTCCTTTTTTTTCTTTTTTTTTTTCTTTTGTATTTTCTTAAATCTCGTTATCGGGTTTTATGAAAAGTTCGTATTAAAAAAAAAAAAAGAAAATTTCGCGATATCATTCGTAAGTTCATAATGAAGGATTCGTCATTGAAGAAGTGTATCTTTTAGTTCGTATCAAATCCAATCGAATAACTTTTCTCGCAAGAGAATTCTTTGACTCATAGGCACGTTCAACGTTGATAAAAGGAGACACGACGATAAAATTTTCCGTAATGATTTCATATAATAATTATTATTCGTACAACGTAATGTTCGTTATCGGGCAGTCGTGCCTCCGTTCAAGAAAAATTATGATTGTCGTTTGAGACCTTATTATATAAGTGATATTTCCATATTAAGGAAGAAAAAAGAAAGGAAGAAAGAAAGAAAGAAAGAAAGGAAGAAAGAAAGAAAAAGAGGAAAGAAAAAAACAGAGAAAAAAACGTAAAAAAGGACAAAAAAGAAGAAGAAAAAGAAAAAACAAGAAACGAGCGGATACGCAATGTCTGTAGTTAAAGATCAACTGGGGAAAAAAAGAGAGAAAGAAAAAAAGAAAAAGCAAACGACGCTATTTTTGTACTTAGGAAAGAGAAAAAAATAAAAAAAAATAAAAAAAAAAGAAAAAGATAGAAAACAAGGAGCAGCTTCATAGAGCTCTCTCAACGTTGATCGTTAAACGCAAATTTTTTTCTTTTTCTTTTTTTTTTTTTTTTTTTCTATACGCGTCATTACCTCGCGATCATAACCTCAAAAAGGAAAAAAGAAAAAAAAAAGAGGAAGAAAAATAAAAATAAGAAGAATAAGAGGAGAAGGAGAAGGAGGAGGAAGAAGAGGAGAAATAGGAGAAGGAGGAGGAGGAGGAAGAGGAGGAAGAAAAGAAAAAATAGAAAAAAAAAGAAAGAAGTAACGAACTAGTTCGATGAATGTGTCCGTCGAATTGAATATTTTGATTAATTTCTCGATCGAACTATCATGACAGTCCAGCAGCATATATACATACATACATATACACACGCACGCACACATACACACACACACACACAGCACTAGCAGCAGTAGCAGGAGCAGCAGCAGAGACAACAGAGTGCGAGAGATAAATACATTGCCTATTTTAGTTAACTTTGGAATTCCTTTGCATAAAGGTCTTTCGGATGTTCATCAGGCGATATCACAAAATTTTACTTACGTAGATATATAATAAACTCTCAAAATTTGTAGTCCCATTAAAACTTTCGATATTCGTTCGTTCTTTTCTCAAATGGGAAAGACATTTATTTGTTTCGATCGTCCATCTTGTTTTTTTTTTTTCCTCACTATATTTATTTGTCTATCTATCTATCTATCTATCTATTTATCTATCTATCTATCTATCTGTATCTCTCTTCTCGTTACAAAATGTTCGTCTTTGTTCACTGGTAAATCGTTCTAATTTTCTTATTCTTCTCTTCTCTTCTTTCTTTCTTTCATTTTTTTCTTTTCTTTTTGTCCCTTTACACCAATTCACAATAAATCTTTTATTAATTATTATTAAATCTCTCAATTATTATATATCTTACACTTACTCTCTTTCTCTTTTGGATCGTATAAACTCGAACGAAATGCCATTTACCGTATTTTCTATTATCGTTAAGTTAAATTCATGCATTACGTAAATCATTGTACACGCTCTTATGAACATCTTCGGCCAATTAACGTTCAGGATTTTTATCGCACCGTCACGGTTCATGAAGAACTTGGCGACATCCTATCCGAAAAAGTATGTCTCTCTCTCTCTCTCTCTCTCTCTTTCTCGCTCTCTCTTGCTCTCTCTCTCTCTCTCTCTCTCTCTCTCTCTCTCTCTCTCTGGGTGTGTGTGTGTGTGTGCTTTGTCTCTCTCACCGTCTGTTTCTCTCCGTCTTTTTATACTTTTTGTTCTCTATACAATTTATATTTGGTTTATAATCGAATTCGCTCTTTGGTAAGAGACAAAAATAGCGTTAAAAATATCTCTTTCAAAAAGACCAAGTAAATATTTTACTTTGTTGAATTAAAAAATTTTTTTTCTCAAGGTGCGACACTCGAATCACTACTACTTATTTTATTCATTTGTGATTGGTTGTTAATGCATGTTGTACATATATGTATTAACAATCAATTTATATCGATTAAATAATAATCGTTGATATTGATACAATTTAATAGAAATTCAATTTTAATTTAGTTTTCTATTTGCAGCCACAATTGTTATGTATTATTAAACTCAAATCTTAATATATGTATATATATATGAATGTATGAATGTATAAGAAATTTTTAACGTTCATTCAAATTTTCATTTCAATTTTCAATATATATTTTCTTATTTCTTTTTTATGAAGGAAACGTGGCGATATTTGTTTTAATTTTTGAAAAAAGGAAAAAGAAAAAATATGAAATAAAATAGAATTGAAAGAAACAAAAGAAAAAAGAATTAAATGAAAGGAAAAAAATGGCGGCAGCCACCCTCGCTCGCCCTAGCGACGATTTTTCTAAAGAGGCGGTCGGTTCGAATTTCCGCGTTCCATAAGGCACACTCGTTAAGTTGCACTCGATACGCTCCTACACAATTACGATAGTAGATGCTCGTCTCGAATCCGTGTCTCGCATTCCGAGCGCGACTGCGTTCCGACGTGGTCGTAGCTGTGGCCGATAAAGGCTACATCGTGCGTCCTCTTTCCTCCTGTCTTCTTTTTTTTTTTTTCTTTTTTCATATATTCTTCTTTACCGACAGGGAGTGATGACGAATATTAAAAGAAAGAAAGAAAAAAAAAGAACATTAAAGAACAGAAAAAAAGATCTTTTTTTTGTAATCATTTTTTTTAGTTATTTCTTCTAATCATTTTCTTTTTTTTCCTTTTTTTTTTTATTCTTTCACGTAATCAATAAGTATTTAATTAAAACGCGATCGAAATTAATTGGAAAATGAAGTGTGAATTATTGTGTCGTGATGTCATCTCGAGTAAAAGGAACGAGTAAGTGAGGTGGGGTGGGGAGGGAGAGAAAGGGGAAAAAGAAAAGAAAAGAAACGAAAAAACAGAAAAGAAAGAAAGAGTAGTAGGAACAGGAAGACGAGCAGAATATTGGAACGCGGTCCCCCCACCCCCCATCTGACTCGAGCGATGTATTTCCGTCGATGAACTCGTGGCCCAGGACAGTCATTCTAGACGGACTTTGTCCTGTCGTATCCTTATTGGTTATGAGAAATGATAGAGATCCTTGAGTATTTCTATGTTACACCTTTTCTTTTTTCTTAATCTTTCTTTTTTTTTTTTTTTTTTTTTTTTTTACGAACAACATGTATATCGATTATCTTAGATATAATCTATAATACAAATGATATCGATATCATATGTAATATAATATTTTTTGTATAGAATATAATATACACCGATATATTCACAAAATTATAATCAAATTTTTGTTTAATATATTGCATACTGAATTTAGTTTAGTATTACTTAGCATTAACTCCGTATATTATTTGGAATTTATTTTTAGATATTAATTATTGATATGTACATATATATATATATATATATATATATATATATATATATATATATATATAAAGAAAGAGAGAGAGAGAGAGAGAGAGATATGTACATATATATATATATATATATATATATATATATATGTGTGTGTATTTTTTGTACGTATGTAATTTATCGTTCATTAGAATAAAAACGAATACGGAAATCGAATTAAACTAACTTCCAATGGTTATTGATACAGGTGTCAATGCGTGATTATTGAATTCCTGTATATGATGAATCTTAATCATTGATTCGATTAAGCTTCAAATTTTATTGCGTTCTATATATAAATCCTTTGTTTGTTATCTAATAACTATTGCAATGAGGAAAAATAGTAAGTTTACTTTTATCTTACGTGTGGGATGCGATCTTCCTTATCGATGTACGATGTTTCATAAAGAATAAAGATATTAAAACACAATAGATTTAACAAAATATTCCACTGTCCACGATAAAATTTCTTTTTCTCTTTTTTTTTTTTTCTTTATCATTCTTTTTTTTTTTTTGCACATATTTCGACAACACCAAGTAGAACCATTCAAAGTCACGAACACACACTTCGATGATATTAATCTTTTGCACCGTTTTATTATCACCACGAACATAATAATAATGACGATAATATTGATAATAATAATAATAATAATTATTATTATTATTATATAATGATGATAATAATAATAATAATAATAATAATAATAATAGTAATAATAAAGATATTAAAAATATAATATTGTTAAATCATTTAAATATTGAATAGAATCGATTTGAAATATGGTGGCAAACCGGAACCGGCAAGTGGGTCACTGTCATTCGTCGGTGTTCTTTCTAGTCGGTAGGATGATTTCATTGCCGTTTGCGAACGCGGCGTTAGATTCGCCCTCTATATTCGTTTCGCGGTCATCACGCGGTATCTATATATACACGTATATCTATATATATATATGCTTAACAGTGTGTTAAGTCATATTCGTACACATTACAGATATAAATGATGTATGTGTATAATATACATATATATATATATATGTAGAGATACATATATCACGTTATAAAGAGCCGACACTCCGAGTACCACGTTATACGACGGACTGAAAGAAACTGACCAACTGGGAGTCGACAAAGCGGAGATTCCTGGCTCCTTCTCTGACTCCTTCCTCCTCTTCGGAGAGCCTTATGACTGTACAAGCATACCTACTTGCCTGCTTATTTGCCTGACTGCTTGACTACTTGATTGCTTGCTTGCTTGCTTGGTTGCTTGCTTGGTTGCTTGCTTGGTTGCTTGGTTGCTTACTTGTTTCCCTACTTTATCCTGCCAACGTCATCGTACAGAATCATCGCCATGGTTCGTCATCTGACCGTCTACATTTACTGACGTCATCATCATCCATGGGATGCTGTCATCACACGTACAATTTTTCTAAATCCTGTTTCATTTCTTTTTAACTATATGATAAGTTTCATTTTGGTTAGATAGACATATCGACTTCTATTTATTGACGTATTATTATCTATCTCGAGAGTGATAAAAAATCTTTATCTGAAAATAAGAAGAACCAGAAAAATTACGAAGATAAAATTAAAAGGAAGGAGGAAATTTTTTATTCCTAAATAAAAATTAAAAAAATTATGAACGAAAATGGGACTGACACGTAATTTATGTGTTGTATTGATTTCTTTTTTCTTCTCTCTCTCTCTCTCTCTTTCTCCCTCTCTCTCTCTCTCTCCCTCCCTCCCTCACTCTCTCTCTCTCTCTCTCTCTCTCTCTCTCTCTCTCTCTCTGTGACGTATATTGTAATAAAAAAAAAGAGAAACGAAAAAAAAACAAGAAACAAATAAAAAAAAAAGATCGTGTATTTTCATATGAGACATAACAATAGCGATGAATAATTAATAATTGTGTTTAGTTTTTTTTCTATCAGTTAAGTACATTCATGTCCGCCATTACTGTGCTAATTATAATTGGATAGATCATCGATAGAGTAGGATTTCCTGTAACATTCGTTACACGTCTATTCTTTCCGATTATTCACGAAATTAAATATTTCCCATTGTTTCATCATCATCCTTTTATGTTCTCTCTCTTTCTCTCTCTCTCTCTCTCTTTCTCTCTTCCTCTTTCGATCGAGAAGCATTTCCGGTATGACGATGACAAGGGGCGCCCAAAGGGGGGTTAGGTTGACGTCCCGCGACCTCCTCAAGGTGAACTCGTAAACTCGGTCATCAGCGGCGTAAACTTTGATAATCGTATTTTATTAATGATTACTTTTAAAAATATATATCTTTGTTTTTTAGATTATTATCAATGATTATTAATTAATTTATATATATATATATATATAAATTTATCAAAATATAATTTATATTTTGTATATAATATAAATACAAATTTAATATTATTTATTATTATATAACATTATATAATATATAATAATTTATATATTATATAATTTATCATATATATTTCATATACATGTTATATGATTGTTTATAATATATATATATATATATATATGTATATATATATGTATGTATGTGTGTGTGTAGAAACATAGATTTATTAACATAAATTAAAATTGATAAATTTTCTTCTTTTTTTTCTTCTTTTATTAAGATATTATCTGTAACATTTGGATTTGAATTATTTAATAAATTACTTTTTCTATAATGAACAGTAAAGGAAAAAAAGTAATTATATATGTACATATAATGATCTAGCATTTAATCGTGGAAGATAATTCTTTAAAGTAATTCAGAAAAAAACCATATATATAGAGTATGTGATAAAAAAGTTATACATATATATGTTTTTTTTTTTTTTTTTTTTTTTTTAATATATTACACGACTTACAATTAATACATAACATTTTCAGTGTTATCATCGAACTCATTATATATACATTTATATATCTTGTTGTATTTAATAATACAAATGTCTACGCCAATGAACATAACATTTGGTTGAGAAACGTAGTGAATGAAAAGAGAATGGTAGGCGCTCGTAAGATTTCGAATGAAATGAAGTTGCGTGAAACGCAAGGATATATATTCTTGTTACCGGCCGGCTTAGATCCCACATGAAAACTTCACACCGTTCGACTACGTCATCGTACAACTCTTAGCAAAGGTTATTCATTTTAACGTTGGTAACACTGTTCTGGTGGTTGTCGGTGAACCTGGCCCAGAAAATAAGCCGGAACTGTTCGAGGAATCAATGACCTTGGCACGTACGATTCTGTCAGGACATGGGTCGATCGAAAGAAGAAAGTTTTTTTTTTCTCTTTCTCTTTCTCTTCTCTCTCTCTCTCTCTCTCTCTCTCTCTCTCTCTCTCTCTTCATTGGAAGTATTCATTGAAAAATTCCTGCAGTAAACTAAAAACAAGACGTCCATCTTTTCTTTTCTTTAATAATTTTTTTTCTTTTTTTCTTTTTTTTTTATACACTTCGACAAATCGATTATCGTCGTGTATTTACATATTTACGCGGCTGCTGTGTTTGTGTATGTGTGTGTGTCATCAAGGTCACGAAGCCGACGTACTTTTATCTACGATTAATTTAATATCTACCGTGATCGGACTGCTTAAAAAAAAAAAAAAAAAAAAAAAAAAAAAAAAAAAAAAAAAAAAAAAATAAAGGTCTCATTTGCAAATCAGACGACAAACATAAATGAGTTTTAGAGAGAATGTATAAAAACAGAAAAAAAGAAAAAGATTATATTCTTATTGAATAAAATAATCACATGATTGGAGACGGGGGACATTTAAAATTGGCGCCATTGAAATTTATTGTTAAAATATGAAAATTTCCATTGGCATTGGATGATTCATTCATATATATATATGTGTACAAATACGTAGAAAGTTTTTATGTTTATTCTTTAAAATATAACGTTATATACTTAATAATTATTAATTAAATATAAATATTGAACTAGTTTTCTTTGATAGATTTAATATTGAGCAAACAAATGATTCTTCGAAATCGTAGATTCTTTCGTGTACTCCTTTTTCTTCCTCTTTTGGTCTTTTTTTCTCTCTCTCTCTCTCTCTCTGTCTCTCTCTTTTGTACACGCACGTACACATATATATATATATATATATCGTTAATACCTTCTATCACTTTAACCTAAAAAAGATTCGTAGGATCATTAGATATTCGGTATGCATAATATATTTTCGCTGAATGAAATGCGACCTATTTTCTTTGGAGAAATGCAAAATATAAAACTATTCGAACTGTTAAGGTTATTTGAATTGTACGAAGTTATTTTTTTTTCTCTTTGTATTTAAATTTAGGATTTTCAATATTCTTACGAAGTTTTTGTATTTATTATAGTAAAAAAAAAAAAAAAAGTTTTGTCTCGATCATCCTAATACAAGACAAAAATCACAATCACTTTTATTTATCATTCATAATATTATTATATTTCTAATTTCATTTATTTTACTTCAATATTTAAATTATTTTCGAATTTATAAAATATATATTCATATATATATATATTTATATTGCATGGATGCTCACGCACTACACACACACACACACACACGTGTATACAATGAAATACGTGGAGCGAAAGAAGAGAGGGAGCGACCGAAGAGTGGGGGAAAGAATAGGAGTGGGGGAGAAAGAGAGAGATTGCAGATTTGTATTAGGTAGATGGCAGTTCGAGCGTTCCTATGAAATCACGTGTGTTTATAGTTGTAATGATTTTTATTAAAAAATTTTTAAATTATTTATTTTAATAAGATAATATTTAATAGATAAGTTAAAGAAAAATATGAAGAAAATTTGTATTATTTGTGATAAGGATGGAGCTGTCTATAAATGTCCTACGTGCAGAGATTCATAGTAAGTACTTTTTGAGGTTAACTTTCTTATTTGGTGTCTATTTTCGTCAATTTCTTTATCAAATATTATATATAATATTGAAATTAGTTCATAAATGTTCTAATCTGTTTAGCTGTTCTGTCGTTTGTTGCAAAGAGCACAAAAAAATTGGCTGCATCCTACCAGAACCACAATCGATTGATGCTAATTTAAACATAGATGAAAATGGAAAATATGATTTTCTAACAGAGGACACGGTACCGTTGGAAAAATTAATGAAATTGCGTGAGAGTGAAGAAGTTAAAGACTGTTTAAAAAATCCACACGTGCGTACTATTATAAATGCGATTTTAAAGGATTCTAATCCAACGAAAGCTATAGCCTTAGCTATGACAGAACCAATATTCGTAGAGCTTGCGGATGCATGTTTAAAAGTGGTAGAAATAAAAGAGAATAAATGACCCGTATAATTTAATATTGTGCGAACATACGAGCCATTTGGAATATGAAAACGTTTTTGTACACATATTACAGTTATTAGAAAATTTTAATACTGTTATTTGTTTTTTTTTTTTTTTATAAAAACATAGGAAACGTAGCAGCAGCAGTTTAGCAAGGTGATTGTTAGATAATAATTATTTAATGATTAAGTAATTAGATAGATAAAGTGGTGACATTTATGAAAGCTACAATTCTTAAAAATATACGTAATTGATCCGTTATAAAATAAACAGATATTAACAAGTACTTTTTGTTGGAATATGTCTTGCATTGAAATAAATAATTCAATTTTATGTGGTAAATATATATCTGTGCAGACATATCCGAAAGAATTGAAAGATAAAGAAGTAGTAAAAGATGTAAATGTTAAGCGAATAGACTTTCCAAAAAAAAAAAAAAAGAAAAAAGAAAACAAAGAAATGAAAAGAAAAAAAAGGAAGGTTAAATTACATTTACAATTCTATATGTTGAGAGTAAAAATTAGAAACGTAACTCTCAAGATTTTGTGGTAATTGCGTTCCATCTATTTCCATTTCTAACGCGTAATACCTCTTTCTAACGTGATGAGCTACCATTTTTGGTTGTCTGTCTCTTGTAAAAATACCTTTTTTATTTCCACCTACTCTGTAATAAGCTAGAAACATATAAAATATTTTTGTATTTATATAAACAATTTTGTAATAATATTTTCAAAGTTTTACATTTTTGAAACATTGATTAAAATAAAAAGTCTTACTTTGAGCTGTTCGAAAGTCCGCAAAGTTCCAAATAAATTCACCAATGAAGAAACCTTCATATCTTAAACGATCGAACGCTTCAAAATGTTTAGAAAACATTTCGGTTTGGTATTCTTCGCTCCATATATAGCTAGGTAACTAGAATATTTTGTTTTGTTATAAATATATTTTTTTTATTAATTTTTATACTATATATATATACTTTCACCTTTTAATATTTCCAATATTTCTTACCTCGTGTTGACCAGGCAAAGTGTCTGCGCCATATTCGGACATAAGCACAGGTTTATCATATTTCCTGTGCCAAGCTTCGGCCTCTGTAAATACACGATCAATGATCATATCCAATCTACCAGAATTTACATACCATGAATTGTAACGATTAAAACTAATCACGTCCAAATATTGTCCAACTTTGTCCTCCTAAATAAATATAAATCTATGAATTATTTTTATCAATTCAATTATGAAATTTCAAAGAAAAAAATAAAATACCTGAACGCTTCTTGCAAGTGCTATGGTAACAGGTCTAGTAGGATCAAGAGCTTTAGTATGATCAGCAATTTGTTTGAAATATTCATCGGCACCTTGTAATTGTGTTCTTGGTTCATTAGCAAGAGACCACATGATAACAGAAGGATGATTTTTATCCCTTCGAACAAGTTCCGACAAGGATGTTTTGTGACGTAAAAGTAAAATAGGTGTGAAGTTTTCTGTGTCGACTGAAGGACACTCGTCGATGATCATGAAACCAAGCCTTGAAAAAAAAAAGAAAAAAAAAAAAAATGTTTTCTATTTCCCCAAAATTTATATTAATTTAGGAAAAAAAAAATTAAATCTTTAAATACCTATCAGCCATATCAAGGACTTCATCGCTGTAAGGATAATGACTAGTCCTATAAGAATTAGCACCAACCCATTGTAAAAGTTCATAGTCCCTGATCATAGTAACAAGGTCGAAACCCCGGCCTCGTATAATTGCATCTTCGTGTCTACCGAAACCTCTCATATAAATGGGTTTACCATTCACTAATAAACTCGTATTCGTCCATGACACGGTTCTAATTCCAATAGGTAATCTGTAAACGTCTGAACTGGTATCATTTTGTATTGATAATCTGACCTGAAAATTTACAAAAAAATAATAAATAAAATAAAATCAAATCAAAAAGAAAAGAATTGAATAAATTCAATTAATTTGATTTTCATATATTCATACTTTAAATATAGTTTTCTTTTTATAATATATATATATATATATATATATATATATATATATATTACCTCGAGAGTATAAAGATAACCAGGCGTAGAATTCATGCCTCGGGGCCACCAAAGTTTAGCTTTAGGTACTTTAAGAGTACCAGATAAGTATGTATTGTCTGTCTCCTTTATTACCAAGTTTTCTTCAGTATCATGCAAGGTCACAGTACAGATTGGTATTTCACCTTGGTTTAAACCTGCCGCTTGTATTGTATATTTTATTATACCCATGTCATCTACCACTCCGGTTCTTACAGTTATATCCTCAATGTATACCCGCGGTGTAGTGTACAACAGTACGGATCTACGTATAAAAATATGAATCGTAATTTTTTTTTATTTTTTTATTATTATTATTTTTTTTTTTTTTTTTTAACAGTATAATCCTTGTCACGAATATTATTATTTCTAATAAATTATTATTACAATTTCGACGTTGATTAATAAATCAAATATTGCAATGATATATTATGAGAATAGAATATTTTATATATAATTGTGACTATAATTATACCTGTGTATACCAGCATAATTGAAAAAATCAAAAGAATAACTTTGAAAGTGTTTCGTTCCGTTATCGGTAATAATGTCGTATATCTTTCCTTGTGGTACACTGGTCTGAAGCAAGGTATTGTCAACCGCAACGGTTATACGATTTTTTAAACCGAAGAACAAGTATTTCGTTATTTCTGCCTCAAACGGAAGATTTCCAATCTCGTGTTCCATAACCAATTCATTGTTGATCCACTAATATAATGATTATTGTTATAAAGTAAATTTATTCCATATAGATTTTTTGTTGATTGTTAAGTAAATATTATAGGCTTACAACTTGTGCGAGATAATTAACAGAACCAAATCTGAGAAAAATTCTTTGAGTTTGCCAGGACCAGGGTATGAAGAACGTACGTTCGTACCAGACAGCACCAACGTGATCCCTAAGTTCTTTGGATGTTGTTATGTCGTTATAGGAAGACGGTACTGGCATTTTAATCAATTCACCAGCCTACGGGGAAACGTTTAAATTTATTTAAAAAGATTTCAAAAGATTTATTATAAAATAATTGAAATCGACGATCATTAATAATAATAATAATAATTATAATAATACCTTTGACAGTGAATCAATGTACCAGAATTCTCTGTAGCCTTTCAAGACGTCATCAGAAGGTGAGGCAATAAAATCCCATAAACCATCAAGCGATTTCACCTGTATCGTTCATTATTAATATAACTCGTATGGATCATTATTTTTTTTTCTGTTCTTTATATATATATATATATATATAAAATTAATAATTAAATCGATATTTTTGACTTACCTCACGTGATTCGCTTTCTCGTGGATAAAGTTGACCAGGAAGTGGTATCGGTTGAATATCCTCCTTTGGTAAAGCTGCGGATTCATTTGGTACTTCGGGTAATTCAAATTCAACCTCAAATTCACCCGATTTAACGCTACCGATTAAGAATACGAACAGCAATAACATTTTCTTAGGCATTTGTATCTCCTGAAATTATTTGTTTTTATATTAATTTTTATGACGTTATATTTCTTTGAGAATTGACTTTTATAGAAATTATTTCTTTTCTTTTTTTTCTTTTTTTTCTTGTTTCCTTTCTTTTCTTTTTTCTTTTTTTTTTTTTCCCCATTTTAATAAAGATCAATGAATTATAATAGATTATACGATAAGATAGATAGATCATAGATAATAATTATAAATAGATCTAAATATAGATACTTATGTTTATATAAATGTATCAATAAAATAAATATCTAATAAATAATATAGTTAGAAAAAAAAAATATATATATAATGTATATAAAATATAAATAATTTGTTTAATTATTTACTCGTTTATTACTTTGATGAGTTAAGTTATATAAACAAAATGATTTTCTCTTATGAATGATAATTGGACGAACGACTTAGTTAAATAACTTTACTAATTGTAGTAAAAAGAAAAAAAAAAAAAAAAAGGAAGAAAGAAACAAACAAAAAAAATGTACGCGTATTATTCACAGTAGACATAATCTTTCGCATAATGTTTAAAAGGAAAAACTCATGAATTGAATAAAGAAAGAGAACGTTGTAGTATACATGCTTTACTCGACACGTACTATCTTATTCAAATTTGATAAGATAGGCGAATTCTTCTTTATTTCTTTTTTTTTTTTTTTTTTTTTCCACGAAGGTAATAATGCAATATATTGAAGAAAATATTAAGTTCTCGATACAAATTTTTTTTTATGCAACATCAAAAATATAATTAAATTAAATTCGGAAACGAATTAATGATATTAATTTTCTTTTTTTTTTTTTTTTTTTTTTTTTTTTTTTTTTTTTTTTTTTAAATTATCTTCAAAGATATACAAGTTGTTTGTAGATAGTCCTCGTTTTTTTTTTTTTTTTTTTTTTTCTTTTTTTTTTTTTTTTTTTTTTTTTTTTTTTTTTTTTTCCTTATCTGTCTATCTCTCTTTCTTATGAAGTATTCACGAATACTGTTGACTATCACCTGACCAAGACCGGTCTTCTTCCTTCCCTTTCTTTTTCTTTTTCTTTATGGTCAAGAATGCACATTTATACCTCAAGCCATTTCAGTATACTTCACATTTCTCTCTATCTTTATCTTTATCTCTCTCTGTCTCTCTCTCTCTCTCTCTCTCCCCCCTCTCTCTTTCTGTTCTTTTTCAATTTTATAAATATTGCAATTTTTAATATTAATATTTGTTTGATTATAAAAAGTAAGACATTAAATAGATCGACCCGATCATCCAATTTCGACGTTTAATCGTATGAATATAACTTGAGTAGATTTTTATCTATTTATTTATTATTATTACTATTTTTTTTTTTTTTTTTTTTTTTTTGTAAATAATCTTCGATTATAAAAATTTAAAGATAGATATTAAAAAAAAAAAAAAAAAAAAAAAGAAAAAGAACTCCAAGTATCGAGAAATGATTTAATAAAAATTATATCAAACTTTGTTGTACGACAACGAGGATGATATTTTACGAACATACGAATACGATTAACATTTACAATATCGTAATTTGTTCGATTCTAGTAACATCTAACGATGCTTATTCGTAGAATTAAGGGCACAGGCCGATACGAGGAAACGATTTGATGCTTTGGGAAGGGAAGTATGCTCTCGTAGGAGGGCACCGTGCCAGGAAGCCGATATTGTCGACGAGACCCTGTAGAGAACGTATAGGGTCTCTATCTCTATTTCTATCTCTCTCTTTCTCTCTCTCTCTCTCTCTCTCTCTTTCTCTCTCTTTCTATCTCTTTCTATCTATCATTTAATCGAATTGTTAACTTTCATTCGAAATCAACAAAGGATTATAACTTAATCGTTTGTATAGAATTAATTTCAATTGAAATTAATTTTGATGAATCAAATCAAATTTCGAATAATTTATCAGTGATTAATTTATTATAGATAATTCACAATCCTCATCCCCCACTCAACCCCACCCCATTCCATCCCATCCCATCCCATCCCACCTCTTCATCCTTTCGACCATCAGTATCATCCAAATAATCTCAACCAACCAATCACTATCGAATCAAAATCGTTGTATAATCGAGGTCATAGAGAAAATTCATTATCTCTATCCAATGTAAACATTTAAACTCTGTGAGCAAAATGAAAATTTTACAAATGGTTAAAGTAGTAAAGACCAACGATATCCATTAGTAATATTGTTCTTGGTAATGTGCCAATCGATTTTGTGGATGCCAATGTATACAAAAAGATTTTCCTAGAGGAACATTTTTCACAATGAGATAAATTATTGTTTAAAACGTTAAACTTTGATATCTCAACATTATTTATATATCCATTTAAATCAAATAAATTCAATTGATATATTCAATGAAAATTTCAAATTTAGAGAAACATTTGTTAGCCCCAATAGAATATCTTATATCTTTCTCTCTATCTTTATCTTTATCTTTATCCTTTGTTTCTCTCCTTGATGGTCTAAAACTAATAATAAAACGAATGAAAATAGTATTAAAAATAACATAAAAAAAAAAAAAAAAAAAAAAAAAAAAAAAAAAAAAAAAAACCAAAACAAAACAAAACATACACTGACAGGACATTAATATATCTTCTCTCCCTCCCCTCTCTCTCTCTCTCCCTCTGGTTTTTTTCTATCTCACATACTTTAAAACTTATTAATGCAGCGAATGTAAAAAAAAAAGCCAAGACATGAAAGAAAAGTTAGGGTCGTTAACGCGCGTGTTCATATTTCCATGTCGACATGTTTTACTTGCACAGGGAGAGAGAAAGAGAGAGAGAAGGAGTGTGTGTGTGTGTGTGTGTGTGTGTGTATAGGTATATGTGAGTGCTTCCTGAACTGTGACCCGTTCACATTCGCGAACCTAGTTTGATGTCAAACATAAATCATCTTCTCGCCTTTATATACCGCTGGTGTACTATCATATTGAAAAGGATATATCATTTGTCTAGCACTGTTATTATTAATACTTACATAACGATATAAATCTAGAGATACAATCTTACAATTAATGATATATACGCACATGCACACATATACATATATATATATATATATATATATATGTATATATATACAATAGAACATGATAAGGATCTATATATTCCAAATGGATAGATAATATAGAAAAAGATTTTTTTATTATCATTTCTATGATCACTATCATTAATGAAAGATACAAATCGATGCGATTAAATAATTAAAAAAAATAAATAAATAAATAAAAATAAAAAAAAGGAAAATACAAAGAAATTATTCAAAGGTTACAAGATACAACAGATACATTATATATATATATATATGATTAAAAGCTTTGATTACTTACTTATTGATAAACAATTTATCAATCGTTGTCCTTTTCGAAATCCTTAGAAGTAGGTATTCCTTTATCTTCTTATATCAGATATTAATGATTTTCTCTCTCCCTTTCGGAAATAAATGATGACGAGGATAAGATTCGTTTGGTCTTCTTTTCTATTTTTCTCTCTTTCTCTCTTTCTCTTTCTCTTTCTCTCTTTTTATCTCTATCTATCTATCTATCTATCTATCTCTTAAATTCTGAACAAATTCAGAGAGACATCGTCGTCGTAATAGTCATAGTCATAGTCGTAATAGTCATAGTCATTTTCTTTATAGTCGTCGTCCTCGTCGTCGTAGTCGTCGTAGACGTGGTCATCGTCGTCGACGTAGCAGAAGCTTGCCACGTTCTCTCCAGGAGGGATCTTACACCACTAGATCAGAGAATCAGTTACCTATCCCATTTGTGCACTGGGGCTCGCCAGACGGTCGGCCAACTTTTATATACCGGGTGTCTCTCTTTCTATCTCTTTCTTTCTATCTCTTTCTCTTTCTCTCTTTTTCTCTCTCTCTCTCTTTCTCTTTCTCACATATACGTTTACACTCACACATACACATACACACACATACACACATACATCGTTCTCATTTCTACCTGCTATTCCTGCATCCTAATTCTCGCGAAAATCTTATCGCGTGAACACCTACATACATACCAATTTCTTTGTTTATTTTTTTTTTTTCCTGAAAGATCTCCCGATCTTTCTCCCTTTCTTTTTCTTTTTTCCTTTTCTCTTTGTTTTTGTATTTGTTTTGTCTTTTTCGTTCGTTCGTTTTTTTTTTCTTTTTAACACCTCTTCTCATTTTTTCTTCTCTTCACTTTTCTTCGTTTTTCTTGTTCTTTTCGTATTCCCGCCAAATCGTATCACGTGACACATACTACATAACCAATTTTTATTTTCGCATAAATCATATGAATGCTTATACTTTGATACCAATTTCTTTTTTGTTTTTTGATTTATTTATTTATTTTTTTTTGTTATTATTATTTTTCTCTGGTTTTCTTTTCTTCTTTTGTTTTTTTTTTCCTTTTGATTTTTCTTAAATTTAATGTCCGCCAAATTGTGTGCCATGATACACCTACATATCGATTTCTTTTTCCCCGTAAATGGTCGATTTTTTTCTTTCTTTTTTTTTCACTCTCTCTCTCTCTCTCTCTCTTCTTTTAAATTCTCAACAAATTATATGACATGACATGCGTATCATTTATTTTCTTTCCTTTTTTTTTTGTTTGTATTATCGCTGAATCGTATCACGTGATACCTACATACCAATTTCTTTTTTTCTTTTTTACCCTTTCTCTTGTATTCCCGACAAATCATATCATGATTACACTTGGATATCAATTTTTCCATTTCCTTTTTTTCCTTTTTTTTTTCTTCCTTCTTTATTTATTTTCGTTTGATTTTTTTTCAGAGTTAAATTCCGGTTTAAATATATTTGTATTGATTAGAAGATAGAATTGTTGCTTCTCTTTCGATAACACGATCGATTGTATGTAAACATATATATATATGTATATATATACATATTTTTTTTTTATCAAATTATCATTATCAAATGCCTCTTATCTAATTTCTTTTTACATTCAATATCTTTTAAGATCAATATTTTTGTCTTTTTATTTAATACGATTGAGAGACTTCTTCTTAACATTTATTATCTTGATAAAAATCTCTCAAAGATTATTTATTATTATATAGACATAGAGAGAGATAGAGACAGATTATTTATATAATTTAATTCCTATAATAAATTTTATAGTAGGAATTTTCTCAATGGAAAAAATATTAATATTATATCTTCATAGATATTATCTCTTCAAAAATTCTTTAATATGATCAATCACCTATAAATTTATGTAATACATTTGTATCTTTTATTAATAATATTTCTAAATTGTATTTTCATATAAAATAAGAGACAAAATATAAAAACGTTGTATTAGACGATTCTTTTTTTTTCTTTTTTCTAATTTTTTTGTATTGTATCTGTAAGAAAAAAAAATATATATATAGGTTATTATATTTATATAGGTTATGTAAATTTGTTTAGGACAATTTTCTTTTACATTCTTATTCCTAAAAATTAAGAAATTATTTCTAAATGAATAATACAAAAAGATCTCTATAATAAACAGAAAACGAAAGGGTATATAAAAGTTGGATCTGTTTGTTACGTAAAATAATGTTACACGGAGACGATGATTTCTTTTTATTTCGTTTTTGTATAATTAAAAAAAAAAAAAAAAAAAAAAGGAAAAAAAAAAAGAAAAAGATTGAATTCTTTCAAATAAGATAACATTGCAATCGATATTGCAAGAAATTAATTTGTATCTCGTTTATATTTTGTATCCTGATGATTAAAGGGTTATATGAACATTAATTTGAATTTATATATTGCTTATAAAAAAAATCAATTTATGTCATTACTTACGTCAAACTTCGTAAAAGTACAATGATATGTATGACATAATCCAAATCACTTGAATATTTATTAAATTCGTTAAACAAACTAATTTCGAGAAAGTAAAATAATTGTAAAAAAAAGACAACTTCGATATATAAAAAAAAAATATATAACGGACAATGTTTAGTACTAATTTTTAATCCTATCAGCGCTGTAATCTATTTCCTAGAAATTGTCGGTAATGTAGAATATGATATATAAATGATAACAAAGAATAAAAAAAAGTTTCATATTACGAATAATATTTTAATAATTTTTCCGATATGTTTTTACTCTTTAAATATTTTTTTTTCTCCTTTTTTTTTTTGTAGCGACTTTAGAAAATATATTCACGATTGATAATAGTTTACATAGTAATTTACAAATTCAAGGAGTTTCTCGCAGTCGATAAAACTGAAGAATATTCTATAGCTAGTATTTAAAAAATGTTAAATAGGAAACTTACCAACAGATAATTTCGTAGTAACAATTTTTGTTTTGTTTGCTTATTGTTTTGTTTCGTTTTTTTATTAAATATCTGTAATCTTTTTAAAGATTAAAAATATTAACAATTTTGATTACCAATTGATTACTAATAAATAACGTTACTGATTAATTAATGAAAATTATCATTTTTGTATTTACCAATTTAATTCATTTTTAATCGTATGTTTTATAAAAATAAATTTGTCGTCAAAATTAAATCTATACATTTTTAATAGATAATACATATTTGAAATATTTAATTTCTAATATCTAATATTTATTATTAATAATTTACGTCTTGTTATCACCAGGTGGCGTGCCAAGGTAATTTTCAATAGTCACGTTTTGAAATTTAATTCTATTCTAATTAATGGACATGAATTGTAAAATTTAACAATTGGTTTGACTATTTTTTTTTTCTTTTGTTTTGCTCTAGTATAATAATGACTGTGAGATCGGATTAATTGGTAAAAAGGCGATTGACCCTCGACAGTCAAGGCTACAGAGGTCACCACACTTCGAAACAATCACTGACTTCCGGTGTGTCGTCGCGACTGTCTGTATGAATCATTTTGATACTTCAATATCCAATGTTCTTTATCTAAATATTTTCTCTTCCCTTTTTTTTTCTTTTCGCGTTTATTTATTTTTTTTTCTGTTTCTAATTTAAATAACAATTAATAAATAACAATAGTGTTTTAATGAAATTCTACGTATTGATTTATTTATCGATCGAGTTCTTCTGGATTTATCAAAACCAATATGGAGGATAGGAAAAATTAAATTTGATTAATTTAAAATTACGGAATCGTTTATAAACGTGAAACTAAGTATTATCTTCGAATTTAGATCATATAATTAATAAACGAAGGACCAATATGTATGTATGTATGTATGTATCAACAAACATACATACAAATATTAAGCCATAGTTAGCAAAGAGCATTAACGTGTATCATAGGTTAGCAATTCGAATCCACGAGAGAAATGAATTCATCGATCACCTTCTTTTTCGTAAAAAATAAATCCTATCCAATTGTGTCCCTCCTTTCGAGTTTCTTCCTTTTCTTTTTTTTTTTTGTTCTTTTCTTTTCTTTTCCTTTTTTTTTTTCTTCTTTCCTTCTTCTTTTTCTTTAAGCAGAAAGCAGAATCTTCTCTATCCATTGTATTAAGAGTCTTAAGAAATATCTTCCTTTAAGAATTTCTTAGTAAGAATTTCTAAAGAATAATGGAAATATAAAAGAAAGAAAGACAATACCGATCGACAATGTTAAGAAATGATGCGCTGTGGCGCCACTGTCGCCTCCGGTCCTCAACTTCCGGTAGCACCCACTCATCTTTGGCAGGATGAACTCCAGTATGAAGTTATCTTTTAGCCTAACGTACTTTTATCTGTCGGGAAATGGCTGGTCATTGGCCCATGGTCGTTCTTTTTGTCGACACCGAAGGTTTAACGACCACATATTTCTTTCTTTCTTCTTTTTTTTTCTTTCTTCTTTTGTTTTTTTTTTTTTTTGTTACGTTTTTCCAATTATTTATTAACACACATCACATTGATCGACTGGTTATTACTACATGAATCACAATTGTGCGTTCTTTATATGCAATTGAATGGAAATATTTTTTAATTCGTATTTTGCTACAATGTGTGTATCTGTATGTGTGTGTGTGTGTACATATATCTCTCTCTATATATATATATATATATATACATTAACAAATAAAATTTAACTTTATATTAAATATTTGTATATTGAGAAATATTATTTTTCCGTTTCGAAAAGATGCAATTGAATTTTTTTTTTTATCAATGTGTCATCTGTTAAAGACTCTTTAAATTAATCTAGGGACTTTTGATTCCTATATATGATGGTAGCTTATAGTATTTTATTCCTTTAATTAATTCCAAGAATTTCTTTGGTAAAATCTTATTAGATAATATGCAAAAATGACGAAGCAGAGCATGCGTATGCGTTTATCTGTGTCTCTCTCTCTCTCTCTCTCTCTCTCTCTCTCTTTTTCTCTCTTTACGTGTGAAAGAAAAAGAGAGAGAGAGAGAGAGAAAGAGAGAGATAGATAGAACTTTTTATCGACTGACTAATCGCGTGCATAAGGACTGTCTAGTCCCTAGACGAGTAATTTTCAGAAGGGTCGATACGAGTTTAACGTGACCTCTACGAGCAGACGGTACTATATTTATTTCGTAGAATGAAACGTATTAAGAGCGAGTTTATAAAAGAGAAGAGTGAAAAAAAAAGAGAGAGAGAAAGGGCGAGAACGAAGGAGAGAAAAAAGTGAGAATTTAATACTGCGATTTAAAGGAAAAAAAAAGAAAGAAAAAAAAAGAAAAATCATTCATTGACCGTCGATTAATAAAGAGAATCATTCTGAGATTATCGATTTTCATCAAACATTCATCATCTTGTAAAAATTGATAATAATGTAAATTATTTTTTCATTATTATTATTATTATTATTATTATTATTATTATTATTGTTGTTATTATTATTAATCACGTTATTCCTACAATTTTCTAGATAATGTTCAATTTTTATTTTTATAATTTATTATAATTTATTAAAATATA